AGTTACTATTGTATAAGAAATGTCAAGGGTGTACAAATCGTGTGAGCCCGTGAGGTATGTGAACTAACCTATTATCTGTTTCATGCGTTCTTTATATTTAAGCTATCCGAAATTTTAGTTTCGGATACGGTAGAGTGACTAGAGTCAGGTAGATACCGACGATTTATGAATACGGATAGTAAAACATGTAGAATCGAGAACCCATACCTAATATAAAATATTATTTTTTAACTAATACTTTATGATAAATATTTATAAATATTCTATTTTGTATATAAACATAATATTTCTAATTAAAGAGGCAGTTTTATTAAAAAGAAAACGGTCGAATAACATAAAAAGAAGTTTCAAGAGTTAATCGAAATTTAGGTATGAAAAATCTCACAACCATATAAGCCTATTATTATCATGAAGATACAGTTAGATTTGAATATCTTGATTTTTCAGAATATACGACATTTAAGTAAAAAGAGCCTATACACTATATGCGTATTTAGTTTTTTTTTGGTTCTTAGGGAATGACGTGGTAGGTGAAAATGAAATGGAGCCTCAAACACAGTTTCTCTTAATCTACACGTTTTATGATGAAAAGTGAAAACATATTTTATGAGGTTACATAACTTATTCCGATTACAAATTGTTCATTGACACACACAAAAAGATTCGATTGAAGGAATAAAATTTGATTATATTATCTGATTGATGAATATCTTACTTTACATCAAAATGTTTTACTACTTAAATTATACTTCCTCTGTATCATATTACTTTGTAGATTGACATTATGAATTGGACTTTTGGATAGGCCACATGATGGAACGTGTTAGGCCACAGCCAATAGATGAAATGTCTTTGTCTTGGTCGGACCAAGTGGAGAGGACACTATATGTGTGACTTAAAATTTCATGGATTCAAATTTAGACCAAAGTCAACGGCTTCGAGATATATCTATTGTACATGTATATGTATATAATGTTTCTTTTGTGTGGCCTCGTATGTATAATGTGTTATTTTCTTTTCGACGACATCCATTACATAGATTAAAATCCGGACACAATGCTAAATTGTTATATGAATAGATATCTTAAATATTGTGTTTGTTGTTGGTATTATACTTTGCAAGGATTACTCGAGTTTCAGTCTGAAACTTCCTAGTAATTATAAAAAAGGTATTGTCTCTATTATTTTCTAAAATGTCATGTTTATTCATATAAAAATTTTGTGACTCGTATGCAAATTCTATAAGCAAGTCTCGATTTCTATATTCATTCATTGAAACACACATCTTTCTTACTATACATTATTCTTTATTACAAAGAAAATAGTGGATTGTGTCATTTACTCTACTAGTTTACATTATGTTCCGATTGACATAATTGAAATTATATCATTTCTATGAGTGACTCTGAAAATGATGACTCTAATTCTTTATATCATTTAAAAAGACCGATGCAAATATTTTCATCATTTATTATAATTGATATTAATATTCGTTGCTTATAAAAAATGAAGCTAAACATTACAGTAGTTTGTATAAATGATGTTAAATATTTGTTTCGGTTATAACAATTGATATTGAATATCTATATCATTTATTTAATTGATTCTATAATTACATCGATTATAAATAAGTGATGCTAAAATGTAAATGAAATTACAAATTTTCGTTTTAATTTATGTAAAATAGAAATGTAATGAAATTTTTAAATTTAAATAGCTAATAACATCTTTCTTCTTTCTTTTGTTTTCATCTCACAAAAAGAAATAAAGTAGAGTAAA